GCTCATAGTTGTCAATGTCATTAATTCCCAATGTGAAAATAAGAAAACATGTGAATATAAATTGAAGACAAGTGAGGCTTTCTATAAATAAATGGTAAAATGCAATTGAAGACTAACATATTAGCAGGGGAAAAATAATGCAATTTAAAGTTTTTAGTGGGTCTTACCTTAGGCAGTCTTTCTGCCTTATATTAATATGAAAAGTGTTCAGCCAGTATTTGTAAGTAAACTAGTTTTATTCAGTTAGAGCATATAATACCATCTACTTTTATTGTCATTTTGATTTAAAATTCAGATGGAGTGCTTTGAGAGCAGATTTTTTTTTCATCTTACAAGTTCATGTTTATAGTGGAAAAATCAGAAATTGTGAACAAAGAAGTTCAAGAAAAGAAAGGCATCATTGGGCCTATTACACAAAGAGAATTTCTGGACACATTTTATTGTGTATTGATACATTATGTATGTATTATGTGTATCATATACGTAAAGACTAGGATCACACTACAAATATGGTTTTGTAAATTGTTTTTCTCACATAACACATGAGCATTGTCCCATATTGCTAACATATAGATTGGTATTATAACTCCAATGGCTGAATGTTTACTAATCACTTTTTGTATACTTAAAAGACTCACAGTTTCTATTATAAACAACACAGCAATGAACATCCTGTCTATACATCTTTGCATATTTTTCTAAATATGTCCTTAAGAAAAATAACTTGATGTGGAATTGCTGACTGAGTATATATGAACATTTTAATGACATATTTGAAAGACTGCTAGAGCCCCCTGGAAAGACTGCACTAACTTAACACCCATGAACAGATATAAACTAAGATGGCATAGTAACTCTAAATGCAATATGTGTTTATTGAAAGAAGAAAATAATCTCTCACAGCTACTTTAATTTGGGCACAGTCGTCTAGCCAAGTTAATAGCGTGAGTGCCTCTAATTATGAAGGACAAGGCTTGAATCAGACCCTTCAGCTTCCAAGTCGCAGGAACTGTTGCCAAGTGGCATTTTCATACTTCAACCCAGACTTTAATTAACCCTACCACAAAAGATGCCCTGTTTTTTTTTTAAATCAAATAACAGCAACAAAGCAAGCCACGAACTGGAAGCTTGCCTCACAGCCAATTTCATTTCCATAAGACCAGTGTGAACTCTTTCCCAGTCTTTGTCTGTGTTCTTACACCTTTGTGCTTCTGAGACTTCTTGTTTTACATGAGTCTCATCCTTGGAACTTGCTCTGTCGGAGAGAGGGATATGATTAAAAGAAAACTTGGCCCCTCCATCTTGTTGGCTGTGTACCTTTCCTGGTGATGTCTCTCTACCTCACTTAA